TGTCGCTTCTCTGTCCTCTTCTTCCTCAATCCAACCTGAGACGCAAAACAGAAAAAGAAAATTTATCATGATGGGTGGTTACGTTTCGCGGTTACTTACGAGGATGGCCGGTGAGGACTTCTGAGGCTGTCGCTGGTGGTAGTGAGGCCGAGCTTCACGGCCGCCGCGGGTTCGTCCTCCGTTTGCGATTTGAACACGTGAGGGTTCCAGATTCTTTTTTCTCAATGACGCTTTTCTTCTTCTTCTTTCTGGTGATGATGAAAGCTCGCTGAGTTTTCTGAACCTCTTCTCGGGCTTTTGCGGCACCGTTTCTTTTGTTCTGTCTAGGGTTCTTTGAATCCCTTTCAAGATTTTCTCTGAAGAACCCTCATGGTTCTCTGAATCTTCCGCCCTTTCTATGACCTAAAGGTGATTTTTATATATTTTGCGGGCTTGCGAAATAGTTGTAGATTGGTTGCGATTTGGACGGTTCTAATGTTGAACACTTTTTGCGGGATTGTTGGCTTGACTGTTGCGAACATATTGTTGCTTTGCGTTTTTGGTTTTGTGTGATTTAACAGTGATTTTATTGCTACGATTTCGAGATTTTCCAGGAACTTCTTCAGGCTTCGTGGTTTTGACTTGTTGATGGTTTGTTGCAGAATCGCTGCATTTTCGCAGCTGAATGTTTGACTGGATTTACTAGCTTGTGGCCCCTTGTTCGTTGAACCGGTTTGTGGGACTGAACTGGTTTTGAACTGGTTTTCTTAAACCGGTTTTGAACTGGTTTTCTTGAACTGAATTTATTTGTTTGAACTTGTTGGATTTTTGTTGAAATTGGTTTTTCAGGAAGATTGGCGTTAAGGTCTCGTTTGGGCAAACCGTCATCCTGAAAAAAACCACTTTTCTCAAACCGACTTTTCAAATAAGCACTTTTTGGTATAATCTCTTTTTGGCCAAATAGCTTATTTCAAAAACAATTTTCCTCTCCTCTTTCTCGGTAGCCTTCTATAAGAACATATAACTGCCGGATAGGCCATTGGTCGAGAATCGAACCCAATGATGATACCACTCTGAGGGTATCAAAACTAACCGATTCGAGTTTAATATTGTTTTTTGTCTTGTTTTGCAGGTATGGAAGAATCGGGAAAGTCGGAAAAGATCGGAAGAAGTTTAAGATTAGGAACTTAGAAACACGTTTAGGAAAAAATGTAATTTTTATTTTTTGTAATTTTATTTGTATATGTTTTTTTTAAAGAATTATCATTATTAATAAAAATTCTTTATTTTGTGAAAACATTATTATTATGCTTTCTGTTATGCAAAAATAAAAATGAAAACCATTATATATGTTTTTATTTAAAATATAAAATGAAAACAAATATTAAAAATGCACATAAAATTATTTAAAAGAATTTAAAATAAAAATGTGAACAATGAAATAGAGTTATAAAAAATGAAGTTATATTTTTTTTTTAAAACATGAAATGAAAATAAAACTTAAAATGAGATGAGTTATTTTAAAATGAAATGAAAATAAAATAGAATTAAATAAAATTAATTTAAAATAAAATGGAAGTACAAGGCAATATGATTAATTTAAAAAGTACAAATAAAATGAAACTTCAAATTTTTTTTTATTAATTCCTAATTTTCTTCGATTCATCCGACTAATCCGTTTCCAACACCATTTTCGATTAAAACCTCCCAACCAGATCAAACAACCCAAAGTTTCTGATTACAACCCAAAATTCACCTTGACGACCGACTGTGAACAAATGACCTTTTTGCCCTTTGGGATTTTTCTGCAAAAACCAACAAACTGCACAACCTGTTAGTGGTTAGTTAAAATGCGATGCGAAATGCGAAATGATTCGACTAAATCTCAGGGCAAAATTTGGGGTATTACAGCAGGTTATGTTTAAGCAAATTTCAAATACCATATAAGGGGTTGACTTGAAAATCTCCGTGTAAAAAATCGACGATGGGTTTGAAATGAAATTGATGCGGTGGTATTTTTGGTATGTCTACCATGGTTATAGTGGTCCCACTATTGAAAAAAAAGCTTGAAGGGATTTTCACAGATTTTCAAAGGAAGATCATTGTTTAACGGATCACCATTATAAACCATATAAGTCTTATGTTCTTGTAACATCTGTTTCCACAAATTGAAATCTATGTTGCGGGTAACGACGTGTATATTTATCACACTATGAATCAAATGAATAGTTAGTACATCTTTTAAGTTATCTAAAAGTTAGATAACATATTTACAACAATAATGCATACCTTGCTATCTTGGATAACACATTCAAAATGCTGTTGTCCATTACGCTCGGTTATAGCCCATAGATCAACAACACGGATGACGAGTTTCCATACATTGTTTTCTAGCTTCAAATCAACAATCATAATAGGTGCTCTAGACATGGTGATCTGAAAAGTAACAACAACCAAATAAATAGTTTAACCACACAAACATTATGTCTAAACAAAATCTAATATGTATTATTTTAGTAGTACTGTTATAGTATGAAAACTATTATCAAACAGAGTTTACAGATCATCCAAGATGAATACAAAAATTTTCAGAGATGAATAGCAATAACCAAATGAACAAAAATTGGTTATGTCATTTATTTGCTGTCATATGTGTACAGCATTTCAGTACAATATTATAATATGGACCTTTGGTTTTAATAATATAGTACACTGCAAATTACCCAACATTAGTTATTTTCAGAGATGAACATGGTTTACCCAACATTAGTCATGTCATTTATTTGCTGCCATATGTGTACTGCATTTCACTACAATATTATAATATGAACCTTTGATTTTAATAACATAGTACGCTACAAATTATAAAATTGGTTCTTTTCGATGTACAGTACAACGTGTTATACATTGACTTAGTTCCTTTTTCAGCTACATCAAAATTATATGCCACTTTTGCAGGTTGATATGATGCAAGTTACTCTAACATTTTGCTTTTGACATGTTATTTTAAACATCTTTTGCATGTAACTCATGTTGTCTTGGATACAATGCCAACACCAGCTGCCATTTCAGTCCATGCTATGTCATAGTATGTTTTCAACCAAACTACCAATTCAATTTCAATTATTTCAGTTTGTTTTTAGTTCCTATTTTGTGGGGGAAATGAAATTCAAATTTATTGTAACTGCATATTGACTTTTTTTGAACATAAAAGTCAACACAACATGAGCATACTCTCTTAGATTTCAAGAAAGAACTTTCACTTGAATGCATGTTATCTCTCAAACTTATCCAACAATTTGGTATGTTATAGAAAACCATAAAGCTTTAGCAAAACCATGTATGACCCTTATTTTCCAGTAATTGTTTGCACATCATTACAATGTTATACTTGTGAATATCTTCCTTAGTTATCAATGTATTTGAGACTAAAATATATTTGTGAATACAGTCAATGCGTTTACATATTATCCAAGATGAATACAAAATTTTTCAGAGGTTATAGAAAACCATAAAGCTTTAGCAAAACCATGTATGACCCTTATTTTCCAGTAACTGTTTGCACATCATTACAGTGTTATACTTGTGAATTTCTTCCTTAGTTATCAATGTATTTGAGACTAAAATATATTTTTAAATACAGTCAATGTGTTTACAGATCATCCAAGATGAATACAAAATTTTTCAGAGGTTATAGAAAACCATAAAGCTTTAGCAAAACCATGTATGACCCTTATTTTCCAGTAACTGTTTGCACATCATTACAGTGTTATACTTGTGAATGTCTTCCTTAGTTATCAATGTATTTGAGACTAAAATATATTTGTGAATACAGTCAATGTGTTTACAGATCATCCAAGATGAATACAAAATTTTTCAGAGATGAATAACAATAACCAAATGAATAGAAATTGTTAACAAAGCTTGTAGCTTTCCTATCGGGAAAAAAGATGAACACAAACCAACATTCATCTCAAACTTCCTCAGAACACACATACTTTATACGCGATAAAATTGATTCAAAACAACATCATGATAATCGAACTCACAATCATTGTAAAGCCACAATCACAAACATTAGAGAAATCGAGTTGAAAAGAACGAAGAAGCAATAAAAACCTCGACTCTTGGTTTGTGAAACAAAAAACCTGGAAAATAGAAAATAAAACAATGTGCAAACTATGATGTGCAGGGAGAGAGATGATGAAGGTAGAAGCGTATACCTTCTTTTTTTTCACTCGCAAGCAATAAAAACGAGGACAAGAGATGATGAAGTTCTGCTCCGAAGTATGATGTGTGCGGGGAAAATAGTCGGAAGAAGAGAGAGATATAGACGAGGTTGAAACATTGTGAAAAGAGAGGGAAAATGATATAACTATTGGGACCAATTGTAAAGTGACACGTGAATGAAAACAATGTTCTTAGCAAGTCTAAGATAGATAAATATGTTGATTACAGAATTGTCCGTGTTTTATACAAAATATAATATTGGCTAAATGATATATTAGTAAGAATTGTGACATTGAAGAGTAATTGGTAGATAGTTGATTTAAAGTATATAGAATTAGATTTTAAAAGTACGGAATTAATGTCTATACCCCTCAATACAACAAATAAAAACATTTCAACTAAAAAAACCCTAAAACCCTAAAACAACAACACATCAAATTAAAACCCTCTTTTCATCGGAAACAAATTGCAGCGCACTGAACATAACAAGCCGGAAAACGCCGGCGGACTTGGTCCGCGCAGGGAGCAACTCCACCTCCAGAAACAGCGCAAATTCGTCTAGGTATTCCTTTTCTTCTCCATATCTTCCTTCCCCATTCCTTTAGCTTCTGTGATTAATCGGTTTGCGGCCGCGGTAGCTGCTACATTAAACCGTAACAAACCTGAGTATCGCGTTTCAGAAAAAAGCTATACTTTCCGATTTTTGCAGTGGTTGACAAAATAGTTTAGTTTTTAACTGTTTATTGATTTAGTCTAGCTACATATGTATGTTAAGGTGAGAGAAGAAGAAGATGAAGACTCTTTCGGGACGATGTGAATCATTTAAAGAGATATCACTTTCCAAAGCTACCAAAATTCTCTCAAAATTTGTCTCTGCTGACAACGGTGCTTCGCAAGTTATCAATGCTTATCTCCATCGAGCTTCGGATGCTTTCAATGAGCTCAACCAGCTTCATAGGGAGCTTAAACCCTCGCAGTCTCGTAGGAAGAAAAGCCGAGGGCACATGACAGATGATAGTGGGAAAGTAGGTGTAAGTTCTGTTACAAGTGTTGATGAAAAGTTGATTGAGAATGATGTTAAATTGGGTCGAGAAATTAATGGTTCTGTTGTAGGTGGAAGTGAGAAGCGTAGTAAGAAAGATAAAAAGAAGAAGAATGAATTTGGAAATAAGGAAGGTGATGGAAAACTACCGAAAAAGGGGCAAAATGAAAATGAATCAGGTCAAGGCGATGAAGAAATGGAGGACGGAAAGAAACAGAAAAAGGACAAGAATTTAGAACGTGAGAGTGCGAAGGGACGAGAACAACAGAAAGAGATAGACACAAAGATAAGTAACAATGGAGAAGTAGCTACTATGGTGAAAAATGAAATTGAATCAAGTCAGGGTGGTGAAGGAGGAACAGAGGAGGGAAAGAAGCAAAAAAAGGAGAAGAAGAAGAAGGAGGAGAAGAAGAATCTAGATGGTGAGAATGCAGAGGAACAAAAACAACAGAATGATATAGAGAAAAAGATGAGCAACAATGTGAAGGTTGAAAATGGAGGGCTGGTTGTTCCACAGGATATAGAAATTAGGTCCAAAAAGAGACATGAAGCAGGGAGTGAGAATAAATTACATGCTGAAGAGATAAAGACGGAGCAACGGAAGAAGAAGAGGAAGAATGAAGATGTGGAAGATAGATCTGAGGAACAGTCTAAGAAGAAAATGAAAAGGAAACATGAGGGTCAAGCTTAAATTTAGGCCTTCATTATATTCACTTGATAGCCGTTACATTTTTTTTTTTCCAATTTTGATCAGGAATTTTCACTTGAAAGATTGCTTACATTGTGGCATCACTTTTTGTACTATCAAAGAGCATAAGAGGAATTTGCTTATTGATTCCTCTTCCTCTTCCTCATTGTTGTCATGCTAGGATTATGCCTAAGTTTATGTGTTTACTATATTCACTTGATAGCTGGTAAATCTTTTCAAAATTGATGAAGTGTTTTCTTTCATTTGTAAGGTTGCTTACATTGTAGCATCACTTTTTGTACCATCATATAACATTAGAGTAATTTGCTTCTTGATTCCTCTCCTGTATTCTGTTTTTGTGGATATATTATTTTGCAGTCTAACAACTCTTACTACAATGAAATGCAATTTTTCAAGGTAATCAGATATCATGGACTCACATTGTGTAGGCTTGCTTCCCCAAAGTTTGGTGTTTGCTAGTTGCACACCAGAGGAGAGATTGTGACCACTCCTTCATGGTTGCACCCAAAACTCTTGCCACCCCTCCACATCATGCCTCCTACACCAACCAATGTGGTCTCCCTTTGCCCATCTAACTCTGTCACGACACACAGCTTTTGCTGTCAGACAGTCCACTCACGACTGTCCACCACTACATAATTTCTTCTTTTGTATAGTGTCCCTCACTTGACCCAATGGCTTTGCCTCCTACTCCCAATGTTGCCCCCCTGCCTGTAGATATGTGTTTAGGGATATAGTCCTCTGTAGCCACTGTGGCATTATTTGTGTCCTGGTGGAGATTTATCATTTTTGTTTGATGATGTTTTTATGCCTTCTCTGATGGCTTCCTTAACTAGTGCTCATTTGACTTGTTAGACGATAGATCTCTGACACATTTTTCTACTATATGACTGTTTGATCTCACATATAAGCAAACATTTCTTTTTCATGCTAATTAAATAACTGATTTATCTCTTCTGTATAAAAAAGGTGGTATGGATGTTAAATATTCTAAAAAGATTGATATAATTAGTTTTCAAAATTATGAGTAATCTTTCTGCAGATATTTGGTATCATGTTTCCAGGTGGTTTGGATTGCTTGTGGTATTCCCAAATGACTGCACAGACCATCTCGACCAGTTTGAAGCTATTCTTGGCATCAGAAAATCTACGGTAAGCAAAGTCAAGGCGGTGTGGTAAGCATGAATTTGGAGCATTTGGAGCATTTGGAAAGCAAGAAAGAATAACATATTTAAAAACAAGGCTGTTTCGGTTGAAAAAATGTTAGAATCTGTTCAAAGGTTATCATACAGTTGGTTGAGCGCTGAATCTAAATTTCTAACTTGCTGGATATCTCAATGGTACTTGAATCCAAGAGCAATTCTAGAATAGGTGATTGAGAGAGGAGATCAGAAGAGTTTCAATCCGGACCAGGAGCAGGTGCAGGTCTGGTTTGTCCAGAAAGTGCAGATTTGGGAGGCCCTTTATTTTGTATCAAGCAAATCTTGGAATATCATCGAAGTTGTGTGCTGACCAGCATCGAATCAGCTATACATTCTGCGCACCAGAGTTATTTTGCTGCTGTTCCGTGTTTTCGATTATTAAGTTACAGTTTTGCAGGAATTTGGTCTCATTTTATCAGGCAGCTTGGCTTGCTTTCGGTGCTGCCAAAGATAGCGTGGATCATCTAGATCAATTCGAAGCTCTAATTGGCAGCGGGAGAAATGCAGTTAGCAGAGTCAGAGCGGTAATGTTTGCTCGTATTATGAGCAGTTGGAAAGCAATGAACAATAACATATTTAAAACCAAGGCTGTTCCAGTCAGACTTTGGTTTGCTGCTGTCCAAAGGTGATCGGAAGTGGAGTCCGGTTGAGGTTTAGACTCATCATAGGAGCCGCTGCAAAGGATGATTGAGCTTAATTGAGCAGCAAGTGAAGACTTATTCTACAGTATCCTATCTGCGGGACTGACTATATTTAGTTATAAAGTGGGTTGCATTGTCAGGTTCATAGTGGAATCAGGTTGGAGCAGTCAGATTGTTTTGTTGAGTGTTAGCAGCATATTGGTCCGGTAGTTCTTTCAATTGATGGAGCCTGTTTTTCCTGTGGGGATTTGCATCAGTTTGGCTGTTGTAGGTGTTTCAGAGCTTGTTTGTTGTTTCCGGCTGTTCTTCGTAGATATTTTCATTGAGCTTTGGAGTTTCTTCGTGCCTGTTGGCACTGTGGAGAGTAGCCGGTGCTTTCTGTGTTTCGTCCAGCAGCAGTTTGCTCAAGATGGGTGGATGTCTGGGAACATGATATAGACAGAGATGGGAAGCTTGTTAAAGATGGTGACCTGTATTTGTCAGAATTTTTAAACTTCTACCTATAATTGGGAAACTCCATCCATCTTGGCATTATTATGCCAGGAATCAAGCGGAATTCTTTGTCTCACAGGCTCAAGTTTACACAGATGGGCGTCTTATTTTGACTGCGATGTTCGTGTTTGCAATTTTTTTAATTTTATGCTGCTATTTTTCCTGAGTTTTTCTAAGCAAAGAACAGTCCTATTTCATCCTTCATTCGGTGAAGATTTGCACTCCAGTTCGGTGGAAGGGGTTAGAGTTGTGGTTTCCTTATCATTTGAGTGCGGCTTGGGGTTTGATGGTAAGCGGAGAATGCTCATGAAATCAAAATATGAGTTGATGCTGGGCTAAACTCAGGCTGGACATTGAGTTTGAGCAGGGGCAGTGCAGGTAATAGGATTTCAAGTCTGCAGCAAGTGAAGTTTTGTCTTAATGTTTAGTAGTTCTATTGAATCATCTCAGCAGCTAGTAGATCTTGAGCTTTTGATGTTGTGGTTTGCAAAAGGTTCTCTTGCTGTCCTGATTTTGTGAATTGTTTGCTTTTTCGGCTGGGGCCCAAGCTCTTTTGCAATTTTTTTGGCTCTTTTCTTAGCATGTCTTGTGGTTAGACTAGAGTTTAGTAATGTATTTTTTTTGCATCTTCAAAAAAAAGAGTAGTCTTTATGCAAATTCAATAGGGAACTTTGAAGCTTTCAAATGTGGTAGTAATCCTGAAATCCAAGCGAGATCCATGTTGCGAGTCCAACAGCGATTTATTACCTCATGAAATTTAAACACGAGCATGATTTTAATTGTCTTGAGATCAAATTTAAACTGTTTTTTTATTTATTTAACTACAAACTAAACTTATTTGTTATATATAAACACAGCAGTGAGACGTTGTGATACTAATCTTGACGATTTATAACGGTAAATCTTTTTGATGGTATACTTTTACCTAGTTTATCCATTGATTCATCAAGAGATTTTTTATTTTTTATTTGGAAACAAATATTCCGTGTATTCTTAATTATAAAACTCCTTTTATTTTTTTACCTAGTTATTGAATGAATTTAATTGTGAATATATTATCGGACGGCTCTTTAGTTAGTCATTTTGCTCTCACAATATATTTTGGTAATTGCTAATTCCACCCTAATAGATAAATTTTAATAGGTAAATTCAAAAATGTTTATTTTAAAAATGCATCTCTTTTTACATTATTTTCATATCAAATACGTCTTAAATGAGATTCATCTTTTTTTTTTAAATTGTTTTGAAATACATTTTTGAAAAAATTGTGACCTTAAATCTTTGATTACTATTATAAGTAAAAATTATTAATTTTTAAATTAATTAATGTTTGTCTTACTATTATCCCTTTAATTTAATTCATAAGTATTTAATTAGTATAAAAACAATTATTTTATTTATAATTATGATCGGTCTGCATATGATCTTGTCGTCTTTTGATGAATCAATGTAATGAAGATATGAAAACAAGAAGGAGAAGAAATAATGGCCGAAGTTACTTGTTTATAGTCTTATTGTGTAGTGTTATTTGAAATATTGAAAATTGACACCGTGTTTAAGAGCATTTTTTATTGCATTTCATGCATTTCTTTTTCACTTAATGGATTTTCACATATGTCTTTAGGTTCTAGAGATATATCTCTAGACGCACTCCACTTCTGAATAAACGTTAACATATTTCAGAGATATATCTCCGGAATTATTTAAATAATAAACGCTCACAACATGCTGTGGAAGTAGGTCAACATTTCTATTGGCAAATAGGGGATTTTCAAGTATATCTTCCATAACCCATTTTTATTTGAATTTATCCGAAGATGTATCTACGACAATTTTTCAGAGATACATCTCCGAAGTGTATCAGAACATATTTTTTTATAACGTGATGTGTATTTGTTCGCAGATGAATTATAAAGAACGATATCGAATTAAATAACAGACATACAAAATAATATAGTCATGTAATAATAAAATATCGTACAACACCAAATCGGAAAAAAATGTAGTAACAATGTCCGAAAAAAAGTACAAACTATAATAAAACATCAAAATAGTAACAAGCTCATACTGGGTGTGCATGACAACGTCTCCTTCACCTCTTGTGCCTCCTCGACCATCAATTTCTCCTGTCATCACGCGGCGTCTGCAGTACAATAGTGTCCTATGTGCCTCCGCAATAATGGTATCTAGTACTCGTTGCACAGCAGACCCCTCAGGTAAGATACCTTCGTCAATGCTTGCACGCGCAATCTCCACTATGCGACGACACCGAGGCAAGACATCCTCAATATGATCTAGTTGAGTCTGCTCGTCCTCTAGAATCTCTTGATGAGCGGGTCTCGGCGGATCGCCTAGAGCAGTCGGCACCATGTATGGATGTGAGACTTTAAACAACCACCTGGTTTATCTGTGGATGTAGCTTTAGTCATTCAGCGCTACGGTAGCCAGAGCCTTAAATGATACCAGATGACTATGATAATCAACAAATATCTCGTCAGTCTGTATACGAGTCAAGGCAGGAGGAGCAGAGACAACAGGGTATCCGGGGATAATCTGGGTGTATCTGAACTACCGCATGACACACTCGGACAAATGAGGAGCAATGATACGTGATCTGCAGGCTAACCATCTAGAGGATAGAATTATG